GCGACAACGCGACCCTTGATTGTACCACGAAAGAGCGTGTCATGTTCCCAAAGCAGAGCCTGCATCCCGCTAGGAAGGAGCCCTTGTGCATCAGTATATCAGTCTCCAAGACTGAGAAGGGATGCAGGAAAGAGAAGCTCTCCAACTCCTCTTCCAGTGAGGATTCCCTCCCAGGGAGGCTGTTTCTCCTCGAGGCTGAGCAGTCTGCTGCACGTGAGCAACAGGCGCCGCGGGAAAGCACCCAGGAGAAGGCAGGAGGGGCAGCCCAAAACGAGGATGAGGATGCTTTGGCATCTGACAGGTCGTGTGTCAGGAGCAGTGTCCCTACAGAGCCATCTGCCCTCCCTGTCCCTCCCCCAGAAGGGGCTTTGCAAGTACTTGATGCTTCCTGCCTGAAGAGGCAGGTTTCGCATGACTTTCTGGAGACTAGGTTTAAAATCCAGCAGCTTTTGGAGCCTCAGCAGTATATGGCCTTCTTGCCTCACCACATCATAGTGAAAATCTTTGGATTGCTTCCTACCAGGAGCCTGGTTGCCCTAAAATGCACTTGCTACTACTTCAAGTTCATCATTGAGTACTACAACATCAGGCCGGCGGACTCGCGCTGGGTGCGCGACCCTCGCTACCGAGAAGACCCTTGCAAGCAGTGCAAGAAGAAGTATGTCAAGGGGGATGTGTCCCTGTGCAGGTGGCATCCCAAGCCCTACTGCCAAGCCTTACCCTACGGGCCTGGCTACTGGATGTGCTGCCACAGGTCTCAGAAGGGCATCCCAGGCTGTAAGTTAGGTCTCCATGACAATCATTGGGTTCCTGCCTGCCACAGCTTTAACCGTGCTATCCATAAGAAAACCAGAGGAGCAGGAGCCGAAGTGGAAGAGGAATATTAGTGCACATACACTTTCCTGCAAGATTGTTTGGGGTAGGAGGAGATTCTCATGCCTTGTGCTGTTTACAGTGTATATAATTGTTGTGGTTTTGTTTTGTTTTTTGTTTCTTTTTTTTTTTTCCACAGGGCTATGAAACTGCACATACTTAAACACAAGAGCCTTTACCTTTTAGATTAAAGAGAGCTTTTAGTCCATCTCTGTAAATAACACTATAAAAACTAATTGTACATACAGAGTCTCCAGCTGGCTGAACAAGGTAACCCTACAATGCAGCTCTCCCAGTGTTGCGGCTATAGGTGTGTGTGTTTTTAAGTGTCTCGTTTCAAAATCTGTATATCCTGTATAATATATGAATGTTTCTGAGAAGAAACTCTAAATAGGTAAAGGTCAACTTGTTTAAAGAAGCTGCAGACAACTTAACTGGACAACCTGAAACTTTAGGCTAGAGAACAGATCCATTATAGTAGTGTGGCAGTGGATTAAAAAAAGATCAAAAAAGAAAAGAGGAATATTATTGTATAGTCAGGATATAAAAGAAGTTTTTGTCTACCTTACCCTGTTGTCTGGTTTGGATTTTTTTTTTTTTTTACTTAAATAAAATGTGCATTCTAGATCTGCCTTACCAGCCTTTCTCTTGTAAGACTTTGGCCCCAGAATAAACATGCTGTAAAACATGTGGCAGAAACTTGGTGCTGTGCTGTAGTTGCATTGTGCTTCCTGTGGCAAACCTGTCCTCCTGCTCTGAGAGGAACAAACCCCCAGATCTGGAGTTGTTGGGGAGCTCCCTGCTGTAACACTCACCAGTTCCAGCTTTTCCTTTCCTTCCTGCAGCCTGGTGTGCAGCAGAGGCTCCTGTTGTCAGGAATTCTGGTGCTAGGTGTGTAAAGCTTGCAAAAACCAGGGACTTTCTGCTCATCCTGCTCATTCTGGACTCTTGTGTGGGCACCTCACCTGCTCCCTGGGTGCTTGACGGAGTGTGGGTCCAGCAGGCTGAAGAGTGGAGCTGCCTTGGCTCTGGGATGTGCTGGAAGCTTTGCCATCTGCTCTCTCTGGAATGTTTCCCTTGCAAGAGGAATCCTTGCCGTGCTTTGCCCTGCCCTGCTGCAGCCTCTGGCATCTCATTCCCGAGGAGTGAGTGAGTCGGTGCTTTCCAAGGGAATTGTGTAGGTTGGTGTCAGCTGAACAGTGATTCCTCAGACTGGGAATGGGAGTGGAGCATGGTGTCTGTGGCAGTATTTCCCTGAATACATTGCTCTCCTGCAGGGCTGTGCTCCAGCCTTGTTACAGCCCTCCGAGGGTGAATGGTGTGGAAGTCTGGGAATGGACAGCCTGGCAGCGATGTTCAGCTCCTGGGAACAATCAGTGGAGCAGCAGCTGTATTCCAGGGAGCCAGTGGAGTGTGGCAGCTGTGCCTGTGCACTGTCCCAGTCCCTTCTCACACTTGGTGCTGTTGCTGTTTCTCTGCCCCTTCTCAGGGCATGGATGGACTCCTGGCAGTTACCATTCCAGCTGGAGCAGCCAAAACCTCTGACCCACTGCAAGAAGAGCCAGTGCCACCCTCCCATGGGGCTTGCACCAGCCCTTCCTCTGCCCTGCCAGCCCCAGGGAGCACCTGGAAGGGGCAGGGACTCTGGCTGGGGTGTCCCTGCACCTGGTTCATCCTGTTCACCTGGGCTGAGCCACTGGGATCATGTGGAGTGACTCACCTGGGTTCAGAGCATGAGGACACAGGGTTTGATGGTTGATTCTTCAATTCTTTCCAGTAACAGTGGGAGAAGGAAAACCAAGCCCTTGCAGTCTGAAATGTGGGCTGGGTGAGCCCAGGATTTTCAGGCAGCTTTAAAGGATGTGCAGGGTTTATTTTTGGCCTTCACCTGCTGCTGCCACCCCTGGGTGTCAGCTGCCCCTGCCTGGCACTGCTCAGCCTCCTGCACCACAGCAGATGTGATGACAACCAGGAGGAATGAGATCAGGAATCTACCAGAAGGGTGTGGCTGCCTTGTAATCGGCTGGGAAGAGGGAGAGGAAAAGCAGGATCCCTCGGGAATTCGTGACTTCATCCCCTAACGGGGCACAGGCTTCACCCAAGCTTCCATCTGCTCCCTTGGCTCCACGTGGACAAGCAGCAAAACAACTTTCAGGCAGTTGTTTTGCCAAAGCCATCACCATCAAAGGCCTTCAGCTGAGTTCTGATTAAGGAGAAAGAAGCTGCTTTCCTGCCCCCCACCCAAGGCTCTGGAAAACTTGAGGCTGACAGCAGCAGGGAAAGTCCCTGCGAGGCTGGAAGAGAGCAGCAGAGGAAAATATTTTGTAACTAGATAAGGGGCCAGTGAGGTCATTTCTCTTGGAACAGGGTGTGAGATTTTGGTCACCTTTATTGAACAAGGGGGAAAATGAGGATAAAGTAGTATCAGTAGTCTGCTTTGTTCCTTGGAGCAGGTACATCCAGAGGCCAACTTGCTGTGCACCCTCTCCCATCCCTGATCTCCCTCCAAGCTGGCTGGGGAGCGTGGGCTGTTTTATACATCATTTATCATGTTGTTTGCTGGAGCTGTCCCTGTTGCACAGCATTGCTGTTAAAAATTGTTTTACAGAACAAGCTTTCATGTCCAGCAGTGGGTTGGTTCTGAGTGTTGCCATGCCAAGCTGCCTGCAGGCTCTTTTTCCCTATAAAATTGTAAAGTGCAGATTTTCTGTTTCCATAAGGGCCAGGGAGAACCAACCCAAGGTCTGATGAACTTTTTTTTTTTTTTTTTTTTTTTTTTCCTGAGACGCAATTAAAAAAAAACTAATCCAGTGTTGGATTTACAGCGTTTAGAACTGAGGACAAAGGGCTGAGCTGTGTGCTGGACTTCACTGCCTGGGAGCAGTTGAAATGTCTGGACTGAATTTCCAGTTCTGCCTGTGAAGAAGTTGTAATAACATTTCCATTGTCCATAAACTTCCAGTTTTCATCAAGCTCAAGAGCTCTGCTGGCATGGACACCACTGCAAAAGTCACTCGTGGCTGAAGCTTGTGGTTGGGCTCTGGCTCCATCCTGCCTGTTCCTGCAGCAGCTTTTCCCTTGGCTGTGTCTGCACTCGTGTGCAGAGGCTCTGCAATGCTGCAGTGGAGCTCAACTCCTTGTGTTGGCTCCAGGTTGCTTCCTGCAACATCTGCCCTTGTGCCAGCCCCTGGAACCGCCATTAAAGCCATGAAGATGCTCCTAGGGCTCTGTATGGAGCCAGGCTGGGAGAGCTGAGGCTGTTCAGCTTACAAAGAAGGCTCCAGGGAGACCTTAGAACCCCTTCCAGTGCCTGAAGGGGCTCCAAGAGAGCTGCAGAGGGACTTTGGAACACAAGGAGGAATGGCTTCACACTGATAAGAGGGCAGGTTTAGATGGGATATTGGGAAGGAATTCTTCCCTGAGGGTAGTGAGGCACTGGCACAGGTTGCCCAGAGAAGTGTCCAAAACCTGATTGGACAGGGCTTGGAGCAACCTGGGCTAGTGGAAGGTGTCCCTGCCCGTGGCAAGGAGTGGGACTAGATGGTCCTTTCTAACCCAAACCATTCAGTGAATCTGTGATTTCACACCTGCACCAAACTGCACTGATACATCCAACCTCTGTCTCTAGTCCCACTTCTTGCACTGTGGGAATGGTGCTGAAGCCTCACCCTGAGCCATCTCTCCTTCCCACCCTGCCTTTGGCTGGTCCAGGCAACCTTGGCATAGGGACAGGACTTGGGGCATTATCAGGCTGCTCTCCTGCCACAAACCAGTGTGGGCAGAGGCCAGAACCTCCTGCTGCTGGCTCTGCTTCAACAGAAGTGACCTGAGCATCCCTTGGGCACGAGCTGAGCTCGGAGCTTTGTACATGGCTGTGACTGCACTGAACTGCCCTGGCTCTGTGTGCAGGAGCCCCAGGTGGCTGCTGCTCCCCATCCTGAGTGTGCAGGAACCACAGGGCATCAGTCCTCCCCGTGAGGAGCTGCCACAAAATCTGAGTGAGAAGGACTGTTTCTCCTCCATCATTCATGTCTGTAAACCACAGGCAGCCAGGCCAACAGGTCCCTCGAGCAGAGCCTGCTTGGCCCTTTGCATCCTTGCTGCTCAGCCACTCACTGCTTCACTTTAATAACTACATCCTTAGAAAGACACCCTCTTGCATCCTGAAATGACCTTGGAACGTGGAGCATCTTTCTTTGCATGCAGAAGAAACTCAGCACTGCAGAAACAAAGGTCACCCAGCCCAGGAGCAGCTCAAACCCAGGCTCACAGGAGACATTTATCCGTTTACATGTACATAGAGGGATGTGTGTGTGTGTGTGTGTGTGTGTGTGTGTGTATGTGTTGTGCAGTTCTCCTCCCCCTGCTCCCATGGAGATGCAGTTATTTTATGTAAGAGTATTTTTTTAGACTGGATATTGCTTACTCCACCGCTGTCTGACTGATTGCACTGTAACAGGTCTGGTCCCTGTGATGCTTTGAAGGCTGGAAATTCTTGTGTACTTGCCCAGCACGGTGAAAAACAAACCACACAGAGGTAACAAGTATGCAGTTCTCCTCCCCCTGCTCCCATGGAGATGCAGTTATTTTATGTAAGAGTATTTTTTTAGACTGGATATTGCTTACTCCACCGCTGTCTGACTGATTGCACTGTAACAGGTCTGGTCCCTGTGATGCTTTGAAGGCTGGAAATTCTTGTGTACTTGCCCAGCACGGTGAAAAACAAACCACACAGAGGTAACAAGTATAAATATACAACTTTAAAAAAAAATTACTGTTAAAGATTTATTGCAATAATACAATAAAATTTAGAAAAAACAAAACAAAACAACAACCCAAACCGTTTGTGTTTAGTTACATCTCACTTGGGAAGTCGCAGAGAGAGGCTGAGAGTTTTCACAGGTGTCAAGTCACCCTTGGGTGTCCTGTGAGAGATCCTCCACAGGCACCTGATTTGGGGCAGAGGGATGAGCCCCCAAAATCAGGCTGTTCCATGGCAGCTCAAACCAGCCACCCCAGGGCACTGGTCACAGCCAAATGCCACGGCCTGAGCTGAAATTCCTGCACTCATGTTTTGTAAACTCTCAGCTGGCTGTCTCCAAATCTCATTACACATACTCCTTCTCTCCCCCACCCCGCCCAAACAACCTGGAAAACAAATCCTGGTGATTGCACTCAAGGTTTGGATACACACAATTCTTCCTCAGCTACACATGTGCAAAAACACTTTGGGGGAAAAAAAAAATAAAAATCACCACAACCTGTGTTCTGTTACAAAAATCCTTCCAGGAAAAGCCCCACCCCGAGGCATTCGAACACCCTCACAGTGCCTTGTGCACTCTCAGAACATGACATGGTTGCAAATAAATTATTTTGGAAAACACGGTTAAGAAGTATATGGCTTAGAAAAGTTATTGTGTTGGATTTTGTCTCCCTAAGTTCAGTCAGTGACAGTGTACGAAGCTGAGTCATGGCCTGACCTTTCGGGGCTCAAAGCAGCACGAAGGCAGCAATGAAGGAGAGACTGAAATGACTATTAAAAACAACAACAACAACAAAAAGGTATTTTGATGGTGGGTCCAGTGCAAAATAAACAGGGAACCAGAAGGGGCTGCACAATGCTGTGAGCCCAGCACGGAACACTGGGGTGTGCTGGTTGCTCAGAGCTGCAAAGGGTCTGCGGGCTGCGAGCGATAAAGTGCTGTGAGCCAACAGTGCCCAAGCCCCTGGGGCTGGCCTGGCAGTGCTGCCAGGCTGGGGGGGCTGGGGGCACCACCCCCTCAGGCTGCAGTAGTCCAGTCTGGGCTGTTCTCTTAGAACAAACCCAGCAGGTAGAGCAGAGGAGTGGCAGGAGGAGGGTGTCATCACCCAACAACGTGTGTGGTGTTAGCATGGAGTTAAGGGTCTTTGGTTTGAAAAAACAAAAGAAAAATTAAAAGAAACTACTGCCAACAGATGCCCAACCTCAGGGCCCGAGAGAACTAGCTGCCATCTGAGGGGTGAGGGGTGGGAGACACCATATTCAGCCTGTGCCTCCCCTGTGGGGCAGGCAGTGGTGGTACCAAAACTGTTTCCCCTCCCCTCCTTGGCGCAGACAGAGGCAGCAGTGGCCAGCCCGGAGGGGAATGGAGCAAACCACCACAAACCACTCCAGGAGGTGCTAGGCAAGCCAGGCCTGGAGCTGGGGACACTGCCCCATGGCAGGGATGTGGCTTCTGTGTCACTCACTGCATCCCCATCACCATCTGTGTCCCCACAGGAAAGCAGTGGCAGAAACCCTCGTGGAGGGAGAGGAGGATGCTCTTCCCTTAGCTGACCCTGTGGAGAAACTGTCCCAAGTCTATAAATGTAAACCATACATGGATTGGAAGCCTCACTGAGCAAACCCAGGAGTGCTCCATCCTGCCAGGCAGAGGAAGAGGAGGAGCACTTGCTCACCACCTCCCGTGGCTTTCCGAGCCAGCTGTGCCCGCAGTGCTTCTGCAGCAAAATGAAATCTACTCCTTGGCATTCAGTAAACAAAAACAACTCCACCATAAACACCAAACAGAATAGGGTTAAAAACACATGTAGTGTGGAGAGTGTGTGACTTCAAACTGGCTTGAAATGAGGTTTTTCTAACGTTAAAAAGTGGCAACATGGTGTGACCGATGGGTATTATTGCAACAACGCAATCCTGGATCAGCATCGATGTGGGTCTAGCCAAGACAATGTCCAGTGTTTCTTTGGTGTATGGTATCAAGAGCAAAGAGCCTGTGTGCCTTGGACAGCACAGCATGAAACTTCTAGAACACCTACCAGTGGAAACAGCATGAAACCAGCCAGTTTTCCATGGCAAAACTGGGTCAAGATCCACAACCAGATCTGCAGAAGAGCAATTTGCTGTGTGAATTCCCTGCCCATGCTGATTCTTTTGTATTAAAAATATGGCAACAGAGATTAGAAAACATGTTAAAAATGCATAATTTTCATGTCCTGAATGAAAAAAATTTAGAAATACACATTTTTGCATTATGCAAGACAGATTTAAAACACACACACACACAAAGGAAAACCCTGTAAGGAGTTAAGAAAGTGGGAACTGCATTTGCACCACTGTCCAGACCACGCCCTGAGCGCTTCTCTGCGCTCATCCCGATCCAAAGACTCCAAAATCTGTTTCTTCTTCAGAAATTAGAGCTGGAGGTTGCTGGGCCCTTTTTCTTGGATACTCAATGCAGACAGAACCAAGACACAAAGTGCCGTCCCGGAGTCCGTCAGGAGCTAATTTACAAAACGAGACCATCACAGTCATTTGGGTAAATAAAAAGGTTCTTCTGGTTTACAAAATGCCAAGTCTGACCTTTTCTTTGTTCCAGGCACTACTTAACTGAATATGTAAAGGTTTACTACAGCATTGTTGGGGAGGGATTCCTTCCACAAATCCTATGATGCCTGTCCCGTGCTCATTAGCGATGCCCAGTGTAGGCCTTGAGCCAGGAGGTCACCGAGGCGGCGGCGGAGGAGATCATCCCTCCGGCACTGCTGCTGGCGATGGGCTGGGACACCTGTGTGCTCTGGCTCTGCAGCATCTCCACCTGCTGGGAGGGGATGTCACAGAACCTCGGGCTCGGCAGGTTCTCCCAGTCTGTGCCCAGGTCAGTCTCCTCGTCGCTCACGTGCTCATCTCCGCTCTCGTCCGTCTCGCCGGCGGCGCTGGGATCCACGAATTCCATGGAGTCTTCCAGATCAGCACTGATTTCGAAGGGTCCAGACCTGTGAACATGGACACAACGTCATCAGCCCCTGTTGGGGACTGTTGCTCCACTGGGATGAGCCCCAGGCATGGCACAGGGCCCTGCTCTGTCCCGTGTACAGCAGAGATCAAATGCCTCTGTCTTTATCAGCCGGCACAGAAACTCTCTGGCTGCAGAGACAACTTGCTGTGACAGTGGGGAAAAGAAAACACTTGGCCAAGGAAGCGACAGGGTTCCAGACCATGGAGCAGGAACGATGGAGGAGCTGTTCTGCTTTGGCAGAGATAGTGAAACACAACAGGAAAAGCTAGTGGTGATAACTCAGAGCTCCACTGGTGGGAATCTCAGCTTGAGGTGGAACAGCTTTAAATTCCAGCACTAGGCCTGGCCAGGCTGAGACAGCTCAGCTCTGTCAGCCCTCAGCTCACACAGGTCTGGGTTGGCACAACTCACCAGTGGAAACCTCACAGCAGCACTTCACCCTGAGCACCTCAACAGCCTTTTCACTAGGAGGCTGCTCAAGCACTGGAACAGGCTGCCCAGAGAGACTGTGGAGTCTCCACTGGAGACAGTCCAAACTCCACCACACAACATCACAGGATGGGTCAGGTTGGAAGGGACCACAGTGTGTCATCCTACAGCACATGGCATGGGACTGTGTCCAGGTGGTTCTGGAATATCTCCAGTGAGGGAGAATCCATGACCTCTCTGGACAATCTGTTCAGTGCTCAGTGACTGCACAGGGAAGAAATTCTCCATGTTCAGATGGAACTTCCTGTGGATCAGTTTCTGCCTGTTACCTCTTGTCCTGTTGCTGGGAACCACAGAGCAGAGCCTGACCCATCCTGACACCTCCCTGCTGATCTGATGGGGTCCCTCTCATCCATCTCTTCTCCAGGCTGAACAGGCCCAGCTCCCTCAGCCTTCCCTCATCAGAGAGATGCTCCAGCCCTGAGTATTTGCTGCAGTTGGCTCTGCTTTGGGCTGGTTGGATCTCCAGGGTCCTGGCTGAAGCCACCTGTGTTGTGACTTCGAGTTCCCTGCTGCCACTGCCTGGTGGAAGAAGTGATTGCATCCCACCCCATCCCACTGCTTTGCCCTGGAGTAAGTGCAGCCCAAAGCTCAAACACCTTCACCAGATCTCTAACACCAAAGCAGGCAGTCTCAGAGGCCTGTGACCCACGATCAGGCTATGAGGGTTTCACAGAAGCAGCAAAAGGAGCATTCCCACAGCAAGCAGCATCCCTGGTGGAGTTCATTCTGAAGCACAAAGCTGCTCAGTGAAACAGGAGCAAGAATTTAATGGAATCATGGAATCATTTAGGTTGAAAAAGACCTCTGAGATCACCAAGTCCAACCATTAGCTGTTGGAACAAGTCCAGAGAAGGCCACAAAGGTGATCAGAGTACTGGAGCATCTCCCCTACAAGGACAGGCTGAGAAAGTTGGGGCTGTTCAGCCTGGAGAAGAGAAGGTTGTGTGGAGACCTCAGAGCAACCTGCCAGGAGCTGAAGGGGCTCCAGGGAAGCTGCAGAGGGACTCTTGGGTAGGAACTGCAGTGACAGGACAAGGAATAATGGGGATAAATTGAAAGAGAGGGGAAATTTAGGTGGGATCATAGGAAGTTTTCCCTGTGAGGGTGGTGAGACACTGGCACAGGTTGCTCAGGGAGGCTATGGCTGCCCCAGCTCTGGCAGTGTTCACAGCCAGGTTGGCTAAAGCCTTGAGCAACCTGCTCTGGTGGGAGGTGTCCCTGCCCAGGGCAGGTGGGTGGGGCTGGATGATGTCTCAGGCCTACTCCAACCCCTAAACATTCTATGATTCTTTGATTAAACACAATAACCACTTAACACAGGAAACAGTGTTTCTCCATCCTTAGTGGGAGAAGGAGCCTGAAGCAGTGACTTAGCATGGAAAATTTGAATCCAGACAATTAAAGCTTGGTAAAATTATATGTATATGAAAACAGTAGCTTATAAAGGAGATTATTAGGTAACTATAGGCTCAGGTATCCAAAGGAAAATGAAGAGAGCTGACTGCTGCAAACTTTGCAGTCAGCTGAGAAATTAAAGGCAAACACTCCTCTTTCATAATCCAGGAAGGAATGGGAGCACTGCCTCCTGGCAGGGCATTTTGCTTAACAAAGCAACATAAGAAGAGAGTCATCAGGTTTGAGGCCAGAAGGGACCATGAGATCATCTCGAGTGACCTCCTCTGTAACAAAGGCCACTATGTCCCACCCATTCTCCCTGTCCCAAGCCCAGTGACTCCTGCCTGCTGACAGCATCCATTCCAGAAACTCACCCAGCCTTGACAGGACAGCAGAAGGAAACAGAATCCCTTCATTCTTGTGAGTACCTCATCTCTGTCTTAAGTGCATGTGCTTCATTTCAGCCTAGCTCAGGCCCTTTGCTCCCAATGGTGCCTATAAAACCATCCACTGTTTTCTCCCCATGAAGGAGTGGAAATCAAGCCACCTGCAATCTCATCTCCAGTGAGCTAAAACAGCTTTGCACAGACTATCGCCCTCATGGGGCATAGTTTATCCATATCTATATGGATATATGGATACAGATATTTTATCTAACTCTCCTACAACACCTTCTTTTATGATCTGCACCCAACTGACGTGTGTGGAGCTCTAACACCTGCACCAGTACCCACTGTGGCCCTTGGACCTTTTACAGCAGCTGCTTTCCAGGACATAGTTCTCCATCATCTGGGGATTTCCTGTACTTTCCTTGTTTCTAGGCAAGCACAGAATTCTTCCAAACCAAGCTACACCACAAAGATGTGGCTCCCCATGTCTTTGGGCTGGATCAGTAGGGATATATCCAGAGAACACAAGGTAAGTGGGAAGAGGCAATTCCTCCTAGTGGCACTAAGAACAAAGTGGAAAAGTAGATTTCAGAACATTACTGTGTTTAAGGGAGGGAATAAAGCACTAGTCACATCAAACAAATATTTGCAGACTGCCTCAGGCACAAGTGACTTGTGACTGGATGATCCCAACAGGAAAGCAGCATTGTTGCCTTCTTTATATTTAAGTTGTAAAAAAACCCAAACCCATATAAGATTACTAAACCTGGTGCTTGCAGCCCAGGAACTGATGTTCTCTTCAGCACATACTCAGTTAACAGAAAAGTTAACATCAGCTTGTATGTAAATTAAGATTAAAGACATCTGAAGTGTCAACTTTGGTGTAGTTTGGTCACTGACTGGCAGTATTTTGGGAGAGGTTTGCCCAGGATTTGTTTCAGGGTTTATATTGCTGGATGCTCTCAGGTATTTACATGTTGGCAAGGTGTGGGCAGGGTCATATTTGGAGCATGGAAAGGCTTCCTGGCATATGTGCTGCTGCTTCCTGGAGGGAAGGAGTTCCTGCATCTGGGCACAGGGGAATCATCAGCTACAAAGCCTCCAGCTGAGCCTGCCATGCACACAAGCACAACTCTCAGACGTAACTTCCTACTCAGCATCCTTTTCTCTGTTCTCTCATCTCCTCCTGTAACCACTCAGACTTCTGATGTGCTGAGGACTGATCAATAGGTACAGCAGAGAAGAGTTTCCCTCATAAGTAACAAAGCAAAGGTGTAAATTCAAAAGGAACTCAGTCACAGGTGAGTTGAGATTTTGCTTGTCTTACCTGCCCAAGTTCTCAGTGTCTGGGCTGACCAGGTACATAAGGTTCCTGAGGGTATGCAGTGGGTGCAGCAGATCTAAATTCACATGCTACCACAGGGAAGGAAGAAAAAAAGACATGATTAGTCCCTGGAGGAAACCTGCAGGCACAGTTGGTATTTTCAAATCTATTTAAGGACTCCAAATGTGCACTGCCCTTACCTGAGAGAAGCAAAGGTGAAGGATATTAGCATTCAGCTTCTTCACTGCCCGTGTGAACCTGTGTCTGCTGAGATTCTCTCCACAGAATTCACTGTTGAAACACCACACACAACACACACATCAACATACAGGAAGCAAAATGCTGTGGAAATACACTTACTGGAGACATCAGCATTCCATGCCCTGGCTTCCTAACAAATCCTGGAGTAAACATCCTCACAATGAGCACTTGTTTAAAGTCAACAGCCAGTTTTAGGGTGCTCAAGAGATGAATTTTTCACCTAGCAAGACTGTTAGCATTTCATCACCAAGCACTGCTTGCCCTGGTGGTGTAAACTGTATGAAACTCCAAGATGCATTGTAGTCAAACTGTCTGAGATCTCTTTTGAAATCTTGCATAATTTCCTGTTCCCAAGCTCTTCTGTTTTTCTGTGTGCAGACTGAGCACCCAAACAGAATCAAGGAATCACAGAATGGTTTGGGTTGGAAGGGACCTTCAAGGTCATCCAGTTCCAACCCTCAAGCCATGGGATATAAAAAATTGCTGAGACCCTACACAGCTTATAAAATGCCCTCACTCCTACAACCACTCTTTTAAACATGTAAGAGAATCTCAGCAGCAAATCTGAGACCCTTGGAAGTTTGACCAGGTCTACAGCTCCTTCAGCACATCTGTACTGATCCCACTTGGTCCACACAGACATCAAAAACCTAATGGCACTTTTCATCCCAAATGAGGTTTATGCAATGCACTATTCCAGAGCTGCTGGATTGGGCTGGGATTTTGTGAGGCACCGTGGGGTCTAATAAAACAAAAAGTGCTATTCACGGACTGTTACATTTAATTTCTAACTTGAAGGTGCTGAATACATCGATTAGTTGTTATTTTCACCTGTGATGGTTGGTCTACACTCCCAGGAGGTAAAAAAGGAGGGAGGGACTGTCAACATGGTCTAAACTACTAGCCCTTCCCTCAAACAGCACCAAAATCCATGAGCCATCAATGCTATCACTATAGTTGTTCATGACTCTGTTCCCCAAAACAAACTGAATGAAGCTCAAATCAGCCAAAACTGGTCACTGATTCACCTCTTGTGTTTACTTGCCTGTTGCAGAGCTTCTTGGGAAGATTCACATCAAGTATGAGAGACAAAGTGTTAACGAGCTGAGTTGCATAGCACAATGCAGCACTGATGGTATGAGCAGGGTTATTGTGTTCCATATCTAAAACAGAAATGAAACCAACATGAAAGTCTCATTTTAAATGAGGCCTTGGTGGGTGTGTTAATGTGTTACTGAAGTCTTGAAGTCTACTCTGGGAAATGTCAGTTGTAAGTATGGAGAACAGCCTAAATCTAGCAATCATTTACAGTGAAATCTGTCAGAAGTTGGAAGAAAATAGTAATTCTTGGAATTCCTGCTCAGATGACAGCATGTGAACCATGTCAAAACTATGAATAATTAACTTTATTTCTCTACTGCATTGTGCTGTGTGTCCCAGTGAGCAAAAGAGGATTTCAGCAGACTAGTCACAGAATCCCAGAATGGTCTGGGTTGGAAGGGACCTAGGAGATCACCTAATTCAAACCCCCTGCCATGGGCAGGGACACCTTCAGCTATAATCCCTATCCTGGTAGTTATTTCTGACCCAGGTTTGCCTGAGGGAGAACAAATGGAGCAGCTACAGCTCCTCAGTGCCTTCAGTTGGCATCCTAGGCTCCTGGAGTTCCCCAGATGCCTAAAGTGAGACCTTTCTCCTTACCAGGTCCTTGTGTAGTCTTCTTCTCTTCCACCCAGTTGTAGTAAGCCGAGTAGTCTCCATTGTTGGGAAGGGTGATCCAAGGCCCTGTGATGCTGATGCTGGTGTCCCCGTTGTGGTCATCACACACCCATCTCCCAGAGAGGTAGGTGGTTCTCCTGGCTTCCGCGAGCTTGCTCACAGTGCTAGAGGTCATGGCATTGTCGCTCTCAGATGACACATCTGCAGGATCTCTGCAGGGCCCAAAGAAGGTTTCAAAAGAAGTTTTAAAAATAAAATCACAGATGCACTTGGCAGGCACCGAGCCAGGGGTCACTGAGGGCAAAATGCCTGTAGGAACACTCCTGAAAAAGTTCTTATTCTTAGAACTACTTTGCTTTGTTCTGGGATCAGAGATTTATGAAAAAGGTAATTGTAATTTTTTTCATTCCAAAATATTTATTCAATTTTATTAATAAGCTTTTTCATAGAATGTTAAGGGGTTGGAAAGGACCTCAGAGATCACCTAGTCCCAACCCCCTGCCCTGGGCAGGGACAGCTCCCACCAGAGCAGGTTGCTCAAGGCTCTATCCAACCTGGCTTTGAACACTGCCAGGGTTGGGGCAGCCACAGCCTCCCTGGGCAACCTCTTTCTTGGATTTTTAATTACCTGTTTTCATAGAATCATGGAATGGTTTGGATTGGAAAGGACTTTACAGACCATCTAGTTCCAACCCCTCTGCCATGGGCAGGGACACCTTCCAGTAGACCAGGCTGCTCCAAGCCCCATCTAGGCTGGCCTGGAACACTTCCAGGGATGAGGCATCCATATTTTAAGTTGAGCATTGGATACACACCTCAGACCTCTCAGTAGATGAGAGATTCTGCTCCGAGACCTCCAGATTCTGCTGTTCTGTACCTCTATGTTGGGTGAGATGCTCTGCCTTTGGGAACACACCACCAACTCCTCCTCCTCCCCACAGATGCTAAGGGAGCCACAGAGCCTCTAGCTTAGGCTTACATGACTCACTTCTGGGTGTCTAAAGCCAAGAAAAACGAGCCCAAAAGGATAAGCCTTTTCCCCACCTCATGCTTGTCTTTACTTCCTCGATGGGGAAGATGACTGACGTCAGTTCCAGGATGTGTGTCCGACGGAGGTTTGCCAGATGCTCATATTGGGTCTTCAAGTCATAAGTCTTCTTCTCAACCAGGTCTCCCAGCCTACGGTTGTGCCTCTGGATCTTCTCCTTCTTCTCCTGGTGCCGCTGAGCCCTGCGGTAATGCTTCTGGTTCTCCTCTTTAATCCTCAGCAGCCCCTCGGTGTCTGTGAGAACAGCAGCAGATGTCAGCCTTGGAGAAAGGAGCTGGGAGGTGCCTGGAGGAAAGCTTGAGGAAAGCTTGATTAATATTTAAGGAAAACAAGATCTATAGAAGCTTAGAACAGAAAGCTCTCCGAAACTATTAACATCTTCCAGCTGCTCAGTGGTACAACTTGGTAATCTGCTCTGAAGATCTCCAAAGAGAGTGCAATTGGGATTATTCTTCCCCTTTCTTTTACCCAGCTATTTTTGGATTTGGAGCAGAAAAGCCAAGACTTCCCAGATTAATTAAAATCCTGAGGTAATCACCATGACAGAAATAGCCTGACTGTACATGCTGGCAGGGTGCTGGCCAAAAAGCCATGCACTGCTTGCTGCCAAGATCAAGTGCAGATAGCACCTTCCTCCATCATTTCTGGCACCACTGCTGTAGTCAGTGTGTGCTACTTGGGCTTTGCACTCATGGATGGGCCCTTAAAGCACTTGGATCCCAATGGTGCAGACTCCTTGTTTCCACAGGGAACACTGGCTACCTCCCTTTCCCGTCACAAACTGAGAAACATGTTTATGTCCTGAACCTGAATTCACTCCACCCATCAGGCATGCTGAGGCCTGGAAAAATATCCTTCAAGAGCATCTTGAAGCATCAAAGATTGGACTGGATTATCTTAGAAGTCTTTTGTAACCTTACTGATTCCCTAACCTGGTGATTCTCCTATAAAATTACTGCAGTAATGCTCCCACAAACATGTGGTGCTGGACAGAGTCAGCCACCTCTGGCTTTCAAAAGCACAGGGAAAGGTTTCTTAGACACTTTCCAAATACAGAGTTTAAAAGTCTCCATGCAGCCTAGTCTGAAGGGTGCCTGACCCTGCAGACACAGAAGCTGCTTTCTCTGAACACCAGGAATTATTTCCAGTCATCTGATCTGCTGCAATCCATGATGTGGCTGGAATTAAGACCTGACACATGGGAGATGTGAAGTCCTGAATTAAAGCAGGTGAGAAGAGTTTCTCCTTGCAGATAAGAACTAATACTCCTCATGTCTATAAAATAAGTGACCCCTGTTAGAGGAGCAGTAGAAAAATCAGTTTTTCCCTAAGCAATCCCTATGTGTCAGCTGTAATTCCATTGCCTTTAAGCATTCCTGTAACATCAACAGGAAATCAATTAACACCTGTGTTCATATTCCCAGTCTCCCCCTTTGCATGAAGAATAAGAGACAGAGGAGGAGGAAAACATCCATCTGTTCAATTTTCACACTCATGTGGTACTTGAAAGGCTTCTTTTTTCCCAGTGAACTCCCTTCCCTGCAGGTCCAATATTTGAGAGCAGGGGAGAACTCTGCACACGTTTCCTCTTCAGCAGTCTCAGAGCAGAAACAACTGTTCTCTTTGCATGGCACCTCTGCTTGATGACCCACTTTATGAGGTGATTAAAAATCTGTCCCCAGGGGTAATTACAGGACACCACTCTGCCCCACACACCTGAGCTGCCTGGGAAATGCAAGCCCAGGCACACTGACCTCTGCCCAGAAAGCTCTGCCAGGTATGTACAAGCCTCTCTCCTTGAACTGTTCTCCACAGGCAGAAGGCAAACACAGGTTTTAAAACATTATTTCAAGCATCACCAGCTATTGAGGTCTCCAGGAGAGTCAGTTCCAAAAGCAGGAACCCAATGTTCTAGAAATTGTTCTTATTTCTGAAAATTAAACTGTGCCACCTCCAGGAGAAGAGAAACCTTTGTACACCTTCTAATGTGGCCCAAGAGTGAACCAAGTTGGGTTCCTGACCTACTGGCTACTTGTGTCAAGAGTTAATTTTGTATCTGTCTGCAAGAGCAGTTTTGGGGTCACTGAGCTAAGAAGTCAGTTGGGCAATAGCTAGCTCAGTTCATGGGTTAAATCCAATCAAGTTCACTGTGAGTCAGAGAAGCTGCAAAAGCTGCAGATAATACACTTCACAGAAGAGTAGAAAAGTGGAGGAATTCCACTCCCTGGTTGGTCCTAACATTCTGCCACCCTCAGAGAAAAGGTAAGTGCCTCAAAGTCACATTGATTTCCTCTTCTCCTTTCTTCACAGGCTAAAGAGAAAAAGTAGTCATAATCTCCTTCATAAGAATCCTCTGCCTACTGAAAAGCTTGTTTTTCTTGACCTTCCTCTTCTCTAAACCAAACCTCAATTTTCTTGGCCATCCCTTGTGTTTTACTCCCTCTCTCTTCCAGACTTTCTCCAGTTGATTTGTATTTTATCTTTCCTAAATTGCTCAGATTGGACACCAGAGTCTCACTGAGGCCACAACAATATGGCTCAGCAGGATAACTGCCTCCATCTAAAACAGACACCTAGTTAACCCAGAACAGGGTCTGAACCTTCATGGAGTAGCGTGAGGTTGATAATTTTTATTTCATTTGCAATCTCCCAGATCACTTCCTGCCAAATCTCACCACCATCCCCCACTTTGGGGTTATGCTTCTCTTTCTAAATGACATGCACTTGACTTTGTTCTTTTCAGATGATGTTGTCCATTTACCTTCAGGATTCCAAATATGATCCTGCTCTCCACAGAATTCACAGCATCATCCACTTTGGCTTCCTTCACTCCACCTTCCATTCCACCATGTGAGCTATTATGGGAAATACCAAGCAGAACTGGGCCAGGAACTAACTCCTGCTGAGCTCCACCTGTCTCACCTCCTTGGTCTGACCAGTGTCAGCATTCTTTGCACACAGCTTTTCTAACCTTTTGTGCTGACCTTGCAGGGGTTACACCCAGAGCAAATGTCTTTGTTTGCTCATCAGACAGTTTTGGGTAGTGCCCAAAGCCAAGGTATGTGCAGCTTCTGCTTCATCCTTCACTAGACCACTTGATCCCCAGGCAAGGGGTTGATTTGACATGGCCCATTCATAACCAGGTGGTGCTTATTTTTAATTACCTTTTCTTCTAGCTACCTGTAAAGTGGCCACAGGCTTATAACAGGATGTGTCATCAGTTTTAGGTTCTTCCTTCCTCCATCCTTTGAAAACAGGTACTGTTTTCACTCTGTTTCTTGGGATATCCTCACTCTCTCATGTGTTCCCAAGTGTTCCACAGACTACCTCAGCTTGTTCCTTTAGTTCCAGAAGGCCTTGGTGACATAACCCAAAGCATAGAATCATAGACTCAATCAGGTTGGAAGAGACCTCCAAGATCATCAAGTCCATCCCTACTGTTATTATTAGACCATGGCACTAAGTGCCACATCCAGTCTCAGCTTGAAAACCTCCAGGGATGGTGAATCCATCACCTCCCTGGGCAGCACATTCCAATGTCTGATCACTCTCTCTGTAAAAAATCTCATCCTAATATCCAACCTATCCCTCCCCTGGCAGAGCTTGAGTCTGTGCCCTCTTGTCCTGCTGCTGGTTGCCTGGGAGAAGAGACCAACCCCCACCTGACTCAAACCTCCTGTCAGGGAGTTGTAGAGGGTGATAAGGTCTCCCCTGAGCCTCCTCTTCTCCAGGCTGAACACCCCCAGCTCCCTCAGCCTCTCCTCATGGCACTTGTGCTCTAGTCCATTCACCAGCCTCGTTGCAACATTATAACATTAGCTGTTTCCTTCTCTTCACGTGCAGTCCTCCCATGATGAAAAATTTCATCTGGCTAAGCAGCTGATCACATTTTCTTTGCAAGCAAACGAAGCAAAGAAGGTGCCAAACACTTCAGACTTCTCTGCACTGTTATTTCCTCTCTTTCCTGTTAATCAACAGTCTCATCTACTCCCTCACCGTTTTCTTATTATACCTTTCCTACTGTCATTACCCAACCTCCTTATGAACTGGAAATCATTTTGCATCTCAGCCTTTGTGATGCTATCACTGCAAGCCTGTGCTACTCTTTCATGACTATGCTCGGGTTATGCCTTTGCTTCCACTCTCTGTAAGGCTCCTCTTGAATTTCAAGCCATAAAAACACCCCTGATTTAATCAATGTGCTTCTGAATATGCTTCCTCTATTTCCTTTGCATGTAGGTGCTGCATATTCTCTTCTGGAAAATGACCCTCCAAATTGAGTGTAAAAAATCTAATGAGTTGCAAACCTGAGGTTTCTGAATGGAGCAACTCTGCAGCCTACACTGTGTTTCACTGCCTCTTGCTCAGGTAGGATTTTTAGACAGGTGTGGGTTAAAATTCATCAGTGACATGAAATCTGTAACAGCTGCAGAGCTGTTTGCTCCTCTTTATCAAGAGCAAGTGATCAGAGACACTACACTGAATAAAGCCACCTCTAGGGACACAGCCAAAGTCACAGCCTGCTAAGCACTTACTTTTAAAGCTGCTGCAAAACCATCTCCATCCAACTGAATAATGGCTGCTGTTTGCTAATTAAAACCCAAGCATAAAAAGGCTAAAAATCATCTCACTAATTTGCCTTCAAGTTGATTTAAGGAATAAGGGCTTGGAAATTTCCCATTTTTAAAACCTAATGCTCCAGTTCACCTCTGTTGATTTTTCACTCTAAGACACAGGGAGATTTCCACATCACAAAAGCAGCTCAGATATTACTCACGTCTTGTCATTTCATCATTTTCCTTGCAAATGGTCTGTTTCAGCTGCTCAATCCTCATCTTGCAAGACATTATTTTCCATCTCTGAAAAAAGAACATTCAGCAACTCTAGGGCACAAAGGACTTCAAACACAGTGAGTAATGATTAACAACAGAGGCAGCAGCTTTAGTGCAGAAGTAGCAAGATGCTCTTAAATGGATCAAACAACTAAATATTTCATACAGTGTTATGTGCACAGAAGAATGGCACAAACAAAATGAATGCTTAGCATAAGTCAATCAGTAAAATCAGTTATTGAACAAATATCTAGTGAGAAATGAAAAATACTGATGGCTTGGAACACTCTGCTCGCAGAGCCAACTTCAGTTCTGCTCACAACAGGCTTTTTGGGGAGAGCAACACAAGGCCCTCAAGGCAAACTCTAATTTCAAACTATGAGATCTAGGAATTCAGAGAGTTGAAAAACTGGGACACTTTGAGCAACTCACCAGCTGATCAGTTATCTCTTTC